CCTGCGCTCCCCAGGGCCTGCCACGTGGTGCCCTAGCCAGCGGGAGGGGTATGTGCGGGAGCTGCCCTCCCGCCGCCCGCTAGATCTGGGCCCGCGCTTGGCTTGCCCAGGGCTTGCGGGATGAGCAGTCGCGCCCCTAGTCTGAGACCCTAGCTCGCGGAGATCCTCGCTCACATCCTAGCCTGGTCGGCTTCATCTTTTAACCGCTTGGTGAATTCCAGTCTTCATTCACTGAGGCCGCACAGGCTCCTCCTTCCTCTGGAAACCTCCCATTACGACCTTTCCTCTCCATCCCTCCCTTACGTGGGAAGCTCTCACAACCTGACCTCCATCCCCTGGGAGTAAGACTGCTACTCACTTGACCCGTATGTATATATTTTAAAAATTCTGATTAACGTAAAAAGCTTCTCTCTTCCTTCTCTAACTCAATTCTGAAATGTACCCGAGAAGGGGACGCACCTAGACTACGTTTCTTCTGCATTTTACCACCAGCCAAAAGAAAAACTTCCTGTTCACGTGCCAAATACACCATACTACACTCACTTTTCGACCTTAATGTCACACCACTCCCCCCAAGTGATCACACTCTCCAGGGAGCCAGATAGCTTTAACCCAGGGCCGGGAAACCCGTTAATTTTTGAGGAAAGTCCTCGTAATCTCTTTCATGTGAGCTAGTCCTATTGAGATGGATGTCAGACCTCGGAAATGCAAATTTCTTGAGAAAATAAGCCACCCATTAAACTCCCATTGTTCTAGTCTGCTGGACATCATGATTATTTCCTCTACAGCGAAGCCAGCTGCCACCTGGGTCTAGGGAACCCAAAAGAAGAGCCTTCTGGCAGAATCGTAGCCAGTTAGTACCGATGTCCCTGCTCTAGCTCAATGACTGGTGCCCAGCTGGGACTGTGTCTCTGCGCATTTGCACTGGGAAGGGAGAACACACCCCACTCTGCAGGTCCTATGGAAAGGACGCCCACAATGGCAGAAAAAAGCACGCAGACAATCCCTGGATCAGGTAGGTGGCGGGGAAGAATCCATGGCAGCTTGTCCCTCCAGACTGGGTAGAGGCAAAAAGAGAGTAAGCACTGAAGCAAAGCCAGAACAGGTAGATTGTTTACGCTACTCTTGAAGAGACTAGCTGGGCGCTGGGCTTTTCTAAAATTCAATTATCTTCACCCTGCAATTACAGTGTTCCAGTTGGGTAAGGGGTGGGGTGATGTTAGTCTCATTTTCCAAGTGACTTCGAAGTAATAGTATCTCTTGCAGAATTTCCCTCAGAGCCCCGTCATCTTTGTAATAACCCTTCATATTTGTCTTTCTTGGTTGAACGCGAAGTATTTTTCAGACATTATGTCATCCATTTGGGATTCTTAGTCCCATCTCCAATGGGGCTGTCAGAAGTGGTCCAGTCTGTACCACTCCTTCCTGTCCTTGAATTTCGGGAAATGAGAAACTCACTAGAGAGTAAGTAAAATAAGCATACTTCTAACACATAGAGCTCTGAAAAGTATGAATACATATTATAAAGGGTGTGAAACTCTTCTAAAAACTGAGGTCCAAAAGCAATCCCATGGCTTTTCCAGGCCAGGTAGCAATATGACACACAGGAAAACAAGGCATCTCAGAGAGTCAGGAGGAAAGGCAGGACAAGACACCCACCCAACACCCAACACAGGGCCTATCACAGCATTCTCCCTTGTTTGCAACCAGAGGAAGGGCAGAGCTGCCAAAGTCCACCAAAGCTGATAAGCTATCAGTAATCCATTAGGGGAATACAATTAATTATTAACACAGCTCAAAATCAAAAGGTCTTAACTTTCCATATCCACCCCCACAAAAATTTTGTAGGTATACCCCAAGTCCATCCTTGTCACTGAGTAGTTAGTACTCAGTCTTTCATACCTAATGCCAGGTTTGGGGTCCCAATTCTTTTTCTCTACCTAATATGCCCTTTATTTCTCTTATTACCCTATTTCCTCTTGTCAAATTCTAACTCTTCAAAGCCACTTCCCTTCAGAAAGCTTCTTGATTCTTCTGAAGCATATTTGTTCTACACTTTCAAATGTTTTGACGATAGCCCGCCCACATTAAAATATATTTTACACTGCAACTCCAGTACAAATAACAAAAATTTTACAAAATATCCTTAGTATATGCAATGTACCAATATTTCATATTTTATTTCAATTTTTTAAAAAAGTAGTAACCCACAAAATTGGTTCCATGACCCATTATTGGGTCATGACCACAGAATTAAAACATTTTATATGGTTTATGGTACTTGCATTTTCTCCTTAAAATTATTTCATTTCTATCCCTAACTTCCATATTTGACTTTAACCTGTCTCGATTACCAAAGATGTCTGTATATACCTGCATCCCCTAACATTTTGTACATAACAAATTCTCAATAAATATTTGTTGGATGAATGAATAGGCCAGCTCACTAAGTTTGTTGTTGGGCAATATTTAAAAAAAAACTAAGGACAAAAATCTAACATTTTTGTGATTGCCATTTCCCTGCTGGCAAGATCCACAGCTACCTGCAAAAAGATATGCAGACAGATTTCCTGTAGCTTAAGGGAGTGGAACAGCCTTGAGAAAAAAGCCAGAGAAATGAGCACCCCCCAGCCCTGAATGTGTATAGCTATGGTGAAACTGGCGACAGAAAATCAAAGCCCCTCTGTGATTTGGGTGGACAAGGTAGGCAACTTGATCAGCAGGGTGGAGCAAAGACTCCCTTCCCACTCCCCAGCTCTCAGGCCAGCTCAAGAGACACTGAAGAACAAAACCAATGAATGACCGTTTCTATGATACTTTCGAGGGGAAAAATGAGTTTTCTGTGTTTTAGCATGGCTTGATGAATTTAAGAGGATAAAGGGAATGTGAAAGTTCTAGTTTACCCCAAATCATGTTAGAGGACCAGCACCCTCCACTATCAGCCAAAAGTGTTAGAACACCTTTAGAAGCCTGTCATTTGTTATCAACTGACCATTCCGGCAGATGAAAAAGACAACTGGGAAAAGTAACGTTTGGTTCAGTAGTAAGTTACCTCTAGGAATTTCTCCATTTCATCTAAGATACCTAAATTGTTGGGGTTTAATTGTTCATAGTATTCTTTTATAATCCTTTTTAATTCTGTAAGATCACTAGTCCCCTTTTTCATTCCTAATTTTAGTAATTTGTTTTTTTCTAGGCCAATCTAGTGAAGTTTTGCTCATTTTGTCAATCTTTTCAAATAACCAACTTTTGGAGTTCTTCTATAGAGACTCTATAGTCTCTATTCTCTATTTCATTCATTTCTGCTCTGATCTTTATTAGAGGATATCATTATTTTTCTCCTCACCTTGGAAGGAATGTTTAGCTGGGAGCGGAATTCCAACTTGACATTGCATTAAGTTATAGTTCTGTTTTAAGCATCTGTTGTGGGTAATGACAGTCTGCTGCTGGTTTGATGACCTTTCTTTGTAAGCAATCTTTTACCTGATTGTTTTTAAGATTCTCTGTCTTTGGTGTTCTAGAGTTTCAGGTACGTGTAGGAGTGGATGCTTTTCTTTATCCTCAAAGAGTTTTTTCAGGTAGAAAATTCATATTTGTCCCTAATTCTGGAAAATCCTTTGTCTTCCATATTGTGTTGCTTATTCTAACTTGAAGGAATTGCTATTCGACAAATGTTGGACCTTCTCATTCTCTCCTCTCTCCGCTTCCATTGTTCCCATTTATATCTCTCTGTGCTGCAATCCAATTGACGTAGCGTTTGTTTCTGCAGGGCTGAGAGCTCTCACCAGTCTGGGCCAATATTCACAGTAATTTTTCAGCTTGTGGTCCTTCCACATGCTAGTAATATAAATTCGGACTACCTACACCTGTATGTGGCCCAGGCTTAGGGATTTCTCATGAATGCCTTTTTACCCCCGAGTTTCCTTGCTGCTGCCCCAAAAGGCTGGCAGGGACTCTCCACTCCCATTCTAGGCTCCACTTCCCTCCATCCAGACTTCACTCCAGCAATCATGCACCTCACAGGGTCTGAGGCCGCACTTTCTCTCCACACCTGCAATGAAAACCTCAGTGCTCCTGCGTTTTGTGCATAACCCTCGGAGCTGTGTTGTCATCACTATTACCACTCTGGCTGCCCTTTCTTTCTTGTACTTTGATATTTTCCTTCCTGCCTCCTTCTCTCCCTCCCTCCTTTTCTTTGTTCCATTTCTCTCAAACTCAGCTACTTAAAAAAATCTTTTCTATTTTGACCAACATTTGTCAGTATGGTCAGCTCAGTGTGCCACATTGCCAGAAGTCTTGTCTTCCTAGCTTACTCATGATTTTTTTTAAAAAATTATATTTTCTAAGTTTTAGGTTCACAGCAAAACTGTGTAGAAAGTAGATTTCCCATATACACACAGCCTCCCCCACTATCAACGGTAACCTTTCAACCCCCTCCAGCCCCCGCCCCCAACCCCGGCTCCGCCAGAGTGGTATATTTGTTACAATTGATGAACCTACATTGTTATCCCCTCATCACCCACAGTCCATAGTTTACATCAGGTTTCACGCTGTTTCACATTCTACGGGGTTGGACAAATGTATAATGACACGTATTCACTGTTAAAATATCATACAGAATAGTTTCCTTGCTCTGATAATCCTCTGTGCTCTGCCTATTCATCCCTCCCCTCCCTCTAACCCGATCTTTTTATTGTCTTCATAGTTTTACCTTTTCCAGAATGTCATATAATTGGGTTCATACAGTATGTATCCTTTTCAGATTGGCTTCTTTCACTTAGTAATATACAGTTGTTTCCTCCATGTCTTTTCATGGCTTCATAGCTAATATCTTTTTAGCACTGAATAATATTCCATTGTCTGGAGGTACTGCAGTTTATTTTTCCATTTGCCTACTAAAGAATGTTATCAGTTGCTTCCAAGTTTTGGCAATTATGGGGAAAGCTGCTATAAACTTCTGTATGTAGGTTTTCAACTCATTTGGGCAAAATACCAAGGAGTGCGATGGCTGGATCATATGGTAAGAGTGTGTTTAGTTTTGTAAGAAACTGCCAAACTACCTTCCAAAGTGGCTGCACCATTTTGCATTCCCACCAGCAATGAATGGAAGTTCCTGTTGCTCCACATCCTCACCAGCATTTGGTGCTGTCTGTGCCTGGATTTTGGCCGTTCTAACAGGTGTGTAGTGGTATCTCATTGTTTTAATTTGCAATTTCCTAATGTTATATTATATTGAGTATCTTTTTATATGCTTATTTGCCATCTGTATATCTTCTTTGGTGTGAGATGTCTCTTCAGTTCTTTTGCCCAGTTTTTATCAGGCTGTTTTCTTATTGTTCAGTTTTAAGAGTTCTTTGTATATCTTGGATACCAGTCCTTTCTCAGAAATGTTTTGCAAAAATCGTCTCCCAGTCTGTGATTTGTTTTCTCATTATCTTGATTTGCCTCATTTTTTAAAGAAAGAAAATAAGTCCATACAGTAAAGTTACTAAGAAACTCAGATAAATCCAGATATAGAGTCACAGAGAGAGTAGGATCTTCTCCAATAATCCCAAATCACTGAGAAATTTCAGGCACAAATTTTAATATTTTCAATATAAAGAGCTAGTTATCTGGAAAACTTCCTTTTACCCACCATTCAACAAAATGCTGCCCAAGTAAAAAGGGTCCTTTATTGCTGTATAGAAATTAAGTTCTTTCTAGAATGAGTCTGAAAAGCACTGCATCTTTTAAGAATGGAGTTCTAAATAAACAGCTGTAGTGGTGAAGCAAGCAGCCAGGGCGCTTTGGGAAGGTATTTTTAAGCGTTATAGACACACCATGAAGTACATGCAAAGAAGAGCAAGCATTAGAAAAAGTGCAGGGGGGGCCACCGCTGGGAGCTGGCTCTCACAAAGGCTAATAGAAATTGTCTGATGGAAAAAGAGTTTTAAAACACAAAACACACACATATATACAAACAAGTGACTCATTTATCCCCCAAAATAAAACTGTTAATGTCTTTTCCAAGAAATCTCACTATCCAAATTTTACTATAGTGAAATTACCTGGCTGCTAATACTGGAGTTGCACCTTGCATGCCGAGTAATAAATTAATAATTCTAACAAGTATTATAGCCCCACGAAGGAAAAGCCTACATCAGTGTGTCAATAATACTATTTCAAGCACAACTACACATTTATACAAATTTGTTTTAATTTCCCACCGGGTGACCCAATCATTTCGCATTAAGACCGAAAAACAAAGCAAGAAAACTGGGAATAAAAAGTGAAGAAATTTTTGTATTATATTCAAGTATTTGTCTTTTGTGATTATATAAGAGAAAATGAGTATTAGGAAATCCACCTTCCAACGAGAAACTCAAAATGCTTCCAAAGAGAACCAGAAAACTGATCTGTTTAGCCAGAGACCCGTGCTCCCAGTTGGTCTGATTCGGTGTTTTTTAAACTTCAGGTCTTCACCTCACCCTACTCCCTGCACCCCAAGTGAACCCGGAGTGTACTTGAGGACCATCAACACCCAGAGCCCCTCAACCCCTGCTGGGTGCTGTTACAAACTGACACCTTGCTTGGTGTTCTTCTGAGGAGGAGTTTTAAGCTCAAGTTTCTCTTTTTACATCACACACTGTCATGTAAAAAGGGAATTTCTACTTTGTCATCTCCCTGCCATCACACCAAGATATAAATAAATAAATACAAATTTGAAAATGTTAAATAAGACTGGTTTCTAAAACACAGTTAAAGCGAGATAAGACCGAAGTAACCCTGAAGGGACTGGAAGACTTTAAAACGGGGACAACAAACAGAAAAAACAGTGTTTCCCCTAAACACTGACAGCCAC